GGAGGAAGAGGAGGAGGAGGAGGAGGAGAAGGAGGAGGAGGAGGAGGAGGAGGCAAGAGCAAGGGGAGGGAGGAACGGGAGCGGCGCGGCGATCGCTTCGATCAGCACCGGGCCAGCGAATGGGGAAGGAGGAGAGGGGATGGCAACTTTATGTCGGTTGCTCTTAATTTTTCGATAGTAAAACTGGCTCTAGAGAGCTGAGCTGCTCTAGGAACAAATTTGATATTCCAATGCTCGGCGTAAAAATCTGCTTTCTCAAAATGAATGGTCAGATATCTTTCGAACTTGGTAGCGTCCAAAACGGGGCGGCGGCCTGCGAACGCCTCGGAGGTGATGACCTCCATGTAGGCATCCAGCAGGTCTTCGCCGCGCTGGGCCGCCGCCTGGCGGCCGCTCGCCCACCCTCTGTTCACGACCCTCGGACCTCGGGCCTCAAGGATCGAGGCGGAAGGGGAGATCGGAGGAGGAGGGGGAGGGGGAGGGGGAGGGGGAGGGGGAGGAGGAGGAGGAGGAGGAGGAGGAGGAGGAGGAGGAGGAGGAGGAGGAGGGGGAGGAGGGGGAGGAGGGGATGATGACTGTAGGGGCCCGAAGACACACATCAATAGACACAAATCCCAAGCTCCCCAATCTTTGCCCATATTGTCTGGATTTTTGTGTTCCCTCCGACTTCCCACATTTTCAAATATTTTCCGGGGAATCGGCGATTATTTGTGTCTGTGTGTTTTCCCCCTCCTGAATGACGGTGGTGAGGAGGGAGGCAGTCACGGGGGGAGAGGGTCCAGGCAGAGGCGGAGAAGCAACGCAGTGGGCAGGAAGACGAGGAGGAGCATGAGAGGGAGGAATCCGTCCTGTTTCCTCGCCCGGCCGAGGCGGGAAGGCATCGGCGGCAAGCGAGGGGTGGCAGCGAGAAGGAGAAGGCCTTCTCAGAAGGCGGCGGTACTTCTCAGAAGGCCTCGCGCCCTCCGAAAAGCGTTCTGTGCCTTCGGGGAGTGCTTCGAACACTTCTCCCAGAAGGCCAGGGTACTCCCGAGCCTTCTGAGGAGGCCCGCCCCTTCTCACGTCCCCCCCTCCCCAAAGCTCGCTCGCCGCCGCAGGCAGGCTCTCAGGAGGCATCGGGTGTGGTCTTCGAGACTCTGCGCTGCAGGCTGGTTGGGCGGCTGCTTTTTCTTGCCCACGGGCACGGGAGGGTTGCTTGCTCGCCGGCCAGCCTGGCGGCAGATGGCCACACGCCACTCCTCCCCTTCGGAGAGGGGGCTTGTGGACTGGATATGACTGGCAATCTGGCACGGTGGTCGCCCCTGGTCAACCGCGGAGAGAGAAGGACCGGTTGAAAATCCTCCTTGGGCGGAGCCTCTGAGATTGAAGGTTGGGGGGGGGGTCGCAGCAGGTCTCAGCTGAAAATTATTGGGGCACCTTCGGGTTAGGGCAATGCTTGGGCTCCGCTTGGGCCGTTTGGGGGCTCTCCGGGGCCTCGTGGAGCCCGAGGTTCCCTCCTGGGGCAGTCTCGCGACCAGCGCGGCGTCCAATACAAGTGGGCCAGTTGGTCTTTCCGCGATCTAGAACTCTCTTGGGGCCCTCTTGTGGGCACCTGGGCCCGTCTCGGGCCCTTTCTGGGGCTTCTCCTAGGCGATCTTGGAGCCAGATTGAACCCTTCGCCCATCGGAAGCCATCCTGGGAAGGCTCCGTGGCCGCCTCGTGGCCGAAGGGAGGGGGGTTCGTCTCCGTGGCTCGGGATGGACGATGGCGGACAGCAGCGTACGAAATGGGAGACCGCGTGGAAGAGGATCGCAAGAAAAGACGACACGGCAGGGCTTGGACTGTGAACACCACTGACTCCATACTGAGTCAGGGGTGAAGGTGAGCGGGCAACAAGTGCGAAACGACACTCCCTGAAGCCTCGTCCGACTGCCAATGCTTCTACATTTGATCGCTGGCACCTAACGTATGCCGCGGAGGGAGCACCAGCATACGGAACAAAGAAGACGCTGGCCTCCATGGCCCGTTCAGCCTGCTGCTGCGCACGAGCCTCCCGCTCCCTGAGGCGGCGCTCGAACTCGGCCCAGTTGGCATCCCACCAGCGGCCACCTGCTGCAGAAGCGGCTAGAGGCAGGGCTTTCACATTATACGATGCGTGCGCGTGCCCGTGCGACACTGATCTGTGCGCACACGCGGGCATACACACTTGCGCATGAAGCGAGCGCGCACGTTGCACGCGTGAACAAAGAGTCCCCATCATACACGGTCGAATGTTCTACCACAACGCCCCATGAATTCAACCCAGCTTGTCTACCCGCGGTCGCTATTTGATACAGTGGTCCACCACGGGTGACTGTTGTGGCACGATCAACGGGCCCAGCGAAGCAATGAACAAGCAATAGGTACATAATGTCAAGCGGAACCAAGCGCTGAGCGGCAGGACTGCGTCTGCAACTACGATACAAAGAGGAAGGGCTCAACACATATGCGCCACATAGTTTGCATGTTTGGGGTACGCAGGCATGTATTTAATGCGCGGTTGCATGACATCTGAAGCGCACGTATCTTGTAAACCATTTTTGCATGGGCCACTATAATGTTCGTGTTTGCCAAATTGGAACCCAATTAGACAGTTATTGCACTGTGAACGTGTAAGCTGGGTGGTGCCATCAACGTGGTGTAAGCTGTGCGGAGCAATCTGGGTTGCGGAAGCCATGAAGTGTGAGCCATGTGGTGCAACCTGTACACGCATATATAGAGATACGCGTATACGAGTGTGGTGCGAGCTGGGCCGGGTACGCGTCAGCCGTGCGGTGCAAGCCGTGTAGATGTAGCACCCGTGCTGCGGGGTGCAGCACGCGGGGTGCAAGCCATGTGGTGCAGGCTGTGTGGGGCAAGCTCTGTGGTGCCAGCCGCGTGGCGCACGCCGTGTGACCAGAGCTCCGTGGGGCACGCCGTGCGACCGCTCGGCGCACACGGCGGCCACGGGGCGCCCACGCGCGCCCGCTGGCGGGCACCGGGCGGAACCTCGGCTCGACGAGGCGCCCGCGGGGCGCCCGCGGGTGCCCCTGGGCTGGCACCGGGCGGCACCTCGGCTGCCCCGTGCAATGCCTCGGGGAGAGGAACGAGATCCCCGAAGTGCACAGACCGTCTACGGAGTGTTGGATCAGGCGACGTGGCGGGCTCGCGCCGAACGCTGCTCGCGATGCTGGCCGAATCTGTCCCACGAAGCATGTCGAATCTCACTCACGAACTCTGCCGGATCCCTCGTCGATGTGTCCTGCTTTTTTCATACTTGCCCTCACCCTCCGAGCTTCATCTCCATCCGACTGCCTCACTTCATCCTAATGCTTGGGCGGTATGAATACATGTTCGCCCGCATTGTCTAGTACATCAGAATTCGAATAAGCAAGAATTGCCTGGGCCATAGCGGGGTTGCATCGCACTGGCAAGCGCCTGGCTGGTTTGTCGTAGGGCAATAATGTACTGCGCTATCGGTTAAATCGGTGCTCCTTGGAGTTCAATCAAATTCGAAAATCAAACGATTGCACTGTGGCTGGGCCTTTGCACATCAAGCATGTCCAAACGGAAACGCTTTATCTAGCCATACGAAAAAAAAACATAGCTACTTACCCATCTGAATGAAGAGGTATCAATCTAGCCAATTCTCCCACTGGCCACCACCCAATCAATGCCCATCGATCTCACGATTGCTCCACTGCCCGTATTAAGCCCACCCGAATATACGGCTTGTCTGCCGCCCTCCTTCCCGCTGTCCAGTCCCGTCCCTTTCTCCATGAAAATGCTGCCTCCTCCCTGTCGCACCCCCCAAGCGTGTCGGTAGGGCCGGCCGGGCGTTTCGCCTGATACTTCCTCACCCCTGGTGACGCCGAAACTTGGAACTTGCAATAACTTCAACGATGGAGGGGAATTGTGTCAAACAGGGGCTCTCGTCAGAGCACCGTGCACATCCGCACCTGATTGCAACAGTAGCGCTGGTCGAAATATGTCAGCCTAATTTGTGACATGAGGCAGCCGTCCGAACCACGAAACCGTTTGCCACGAGGAGAGACACTGACGAGTCGGCCAAACACGGAGGGCCGAAAGACCAGCGAGAATATTGGCAGGCTGGCGCGCAGCAGCGGCTGGGCACGACGGCTGAGACCTCACAGCGTTGACTAGAAATCTCCATCTGGCCAAGAGAAAAAGGGGTACAGGGTGGGTGGGCCACATGACTACAGACGATACAGCTATCGTCGTGCCTCCCAGCTCCCTTCTTACTACAGAGGTAAGAACATCAATATCATCAATACCTGGTCGCAGCAATAGCGTTGGAAGAGATATGAAGGCCTCATTTGGTCACGTGAGGCAACCGTCCGACACGCGAAACCGCTGGCCACGAGCAGAGACACTGACGAGTCGGTCAAACACGGAGGGGCGAAAGACCGGAAATAATACTGGCAGGCCAGCGCGCAGCAATGGCTGGGCGCGACGGCCGAGATCTCGCAAAATTGACTCGAGATCTCGACTTGGCCCATAACCCATATGTTGGAACGTGGAAGCTGGGTGGGCGGGTTGCATTCATATTCTAAGTCAGCTAGGTCAGCGTGCGGACAAGCCCAGAAGAAGCGGCAATATATGGAAGAGTCCTGTGCCATGACGCTGCTGTTCGGCAGTGAGATTCTTGACCTGGCGATGGACGGGGCTGCCTTAGGCGTAGTTGCGGACGGAGGCCTCGGCCCCCCAGCAGCCGCGCGCAGGACCTGGGCGAGCGCGCGGTGGCTGGCGAGGACGTCGTCGCCGGGCCCGCCGCGGCGCAACATGCGCGCGGTTAGCTCCATGTGATCGAGCTTGGCGGCCGAGGCAGCGTCCTTGAAGAGCTTCTCGAACTTCGCGAGCGAGAGCGAGAGGAAGGGCTCGAACGAGTCGTCCGAGGCGGCCTTGGCGAGGAGCGTCTCCACGAGCTTGCGCAGGCAGGCGCGACCAGCATCGATGGAGATCGATTTGACTAGAATGACAGCGTCGTCGAACTTGCCGCTCTTGGCGGGCTTGATGGACGACTGCTCCACGCGAGACTCCCGCGGCAGCGCGGGGGCCACCGTGACGACGACCGGCCCCCGCTTCGAGACGTCGGCGACGTCGCCGCGGCGGGCGTTGAGCACCTCCGACGGCGTGGGGTAGCCGTCCTGCAGCAGCACGGCGGCTCGCGCGGCCGCGACGCCGACGTCGCCCACCCTCGCGAGCTGCGCGGCCGCGAGCGCGATGGCGATCCAGGGGCACGGAGCGCGGCCCAGCTCTGGCTCCTCCTTGCGCCAGCTCTGCAGCGCGCGCTTGGACCTCACCGTGCTCGTCTTGCTGGCGAAGCTGGTGTCCGGGCTGAGGGCGACGGCCGCCGTCGCCCCGTGGCCTGCGCTGACCGCCTCGCCTCGCTGCGCTGGCGCCGCAGCCGCCGCTGGCGGCCCCGCGCGCGCCCGACCTCGGGCGCCGCGGCGGGGTTCTGCAGAGGCCCCGCCCGCCCCGCTCGCGGGCGCCGAGCGGCCGCTCCCGAGGGCGCCCGTCGACAAGAGGGTCAAGCTTGGGCCCGTCGAAGGAGGGGTCAGCGCCAGCGGCCCCGAGTTGCGCAAGGTGCCACTGGCCGTGCCCCACCGCGTAGCCGCCCCCCGAGTGCCCAGGCGAACCCCGCGCGGAGCTGATGCCGAAGCGATTTCTGCCCAAGCGCGGCAGAGACCCGGAGGGGGGGCGCCCGCCAAGGCAACGCGCTGGACGGCTCGAGCTGGGGTGGCAGCAGAAAACAAGCAGCGCGCCGTGCAGGGCGAGGCGGGCTGAGGCGGGCGATGTGTATCTGTCGTAATAGACGTGGTGGTGCACGTGCGGGGCCCCGCGGGGGCCGCCCAGACATTCCCCATCCAGGATGTCGTGATAGTGGCCTCCCTGACAAGAGCGACGCAGCCGATCAAGGCCCAGCAGCGTGCCCAAGAGACCAGTGGGCTTCAGGTAGTGAGCCCTGTACTCGCACATATCCAGGCTGACGAAGACAAGCCCTGTGCGCTTGGACAGAGGACGGAAGAGGTCGCGTTCCCAGCGGTGGGGGCGCAGCGGGTTCTCCGCTGTCCAGAAGATGGCGGACGCCCCGAGTGGCGCGCCGAGCATCGCGAGGAGAGAGGGCGCCGTGCTGCGCTATGCTGCGCGTCGCACAGGGCGTGCAAAAGTGCACGCGCCAGATGACGCCAGTGTGGATCCAGGGCTCCAGTGCGCGGGCCGTCTTCCAGGAGCGCAAGTCGTAGTAGGGGGCCCGCTGGTGGCCCGTGGGAGGCAAGACGCGATGCCCTTGGCCCGCCATGGTCGACGAAAGCAGGCCCGTCCCAGAGCGCGCCTCCGAAACGCGGAGCAGTTGCGCTGCTGCTGGCGACGCGCTGAGGAGGAGGAGGTCGCTCTGCAATGCGCCGTCGGGCGCCCGAGGCGGGCCGTCTCGGAGGGCGGCGGCGCCGGGGCGCGCCGCCGAGGCGGCCAGCGGCGCCGCCTAGAAATTGAAGCAGGCGCTGTAGCCCTGTCGCCTGCCGCTGCCCCGCCGCTGGGAGACGCTGCTGCTGGTGCTGCTATCGCCGGCGACACCGCTGTGCATGGTCGAGGCAGCGGTGGGTCGGGGGAGAGGCGGCCGCGGGGGGTCGCCTCCGCTCCCGTGGCGAGGGCGCGCGGAAGCCCAGGCGTTGCGTGGGCGGCGCGGGCGGGGGGAGTAACGCGCGCGGCGTCGCGGCCCGGCGAGGCGGGGCGCGCGGCCAGTCCGGGCCGCCCCCCGACGTGTCAGGGGAGCGGGGGGCCGGGCGACGCTCGGCCGAGTCGAGGGCGAGCCGGCAGGCGTGAGTAGCCTCCAGGATGGATTGGCCCGGGAGGGTCTCGCCATGATCCGGAGCAGTTGCGGAAGCTCTCGATGTAGCGCAGGTGCGTGCCGCGAGATCTCGGTGCCGATGGTGATCGCCGCGGCCTGTCGCGCCAGCAGCCAGAACCAGAAGTCGCTGGCCCAGCCCTTCATGAAAGCCAAGCGGGCGCTCAGGCCCAGGTTGTCAGCAAGGGCCAGCAGCCGCAGGCCGTGCGCGGCCGGACAGCGCGAA